TTTTAAAAATACAGTTTACAAGCCAAAACCAGTTTGGCTCAGTGGATAAAGCATATGGCTGAGGACTGAAAGATCCCGGGTTCGATTCTGGTCAAGGGTATATACCTTGGTTGCGGGCATATCCCCGGTAGGAGGTGTGCAGGAGGCAGCTAATCGATGATTCTCTCTCATCGATGTTTTTAACTTTCTATCCCTCTCTCTTCCTCTCTGTAAAAAAAATCAATAAAATATATTTTTTTAAAATACAGATTACGAGCTCCTGTCCAAACGTAGTGAATTTCCCTATGCTTACATCAACAAAATGAAACACATCGTGTTTGAGTCTTTTTTCAATCAACTTTCCAGCAAATGCATGTTAAAAATTTTTTCAGTACAAATTACACAAGAATTAAACTGAATACCTTGAATTTCCAGAGGTAGTGACCTTGGACAGATACCTAATGAATGGCTATTCATTAAAAGATAACTGCTCTTTAAACTGCTCTTGGAAGGAAATTCAAGTTAAAAAAAAAATACTCTTCCTGGTTCCTGTCCTCTGAAGGACTTTCCAATCTCAAAGTCCACCTTTAAGCAACTTCCAACAAACATTAACAATATTGACATACATCATTAAGTTATTATAGATCTTTAAACAAATTACTTGTTTAGATCACTGTTTTAAATATGACACATTCATTCATGTCACAAATATTATTAGCTGTAACATATATGTAAACATAGAGAATACATTGTCATTGAATTGCACTTTGCTTTTCAAAAGCTCTGGGACATCTTAAAAACTAGTGTTGCAAGCATGGGAGAAATGAAGCCAGAGAGACCTACTTCAAATCCTGCTTCTGAAACTTAGGCTAGTTTTACAACATTGCAGGTAATATTTTCTGAAACTCGGTTTCTTTCTTCTGTAAATGGTAATAATACCACCTATCTTGCTGAGTTGTCACAAAAATAAGAATTGTAAGTAAAACACATATAGTTCTGAATCAGAGCCAACATTTATCGTAATAAGCAGTACTCTTATCCCTCTTACCCAAATTTCCACTGCAACCCCCCCTCAACAAAGGTGAAATTGGTCCTCTAAAAGTACTCATGATATTGGACTTTATGTTGAAAACCCAAGTATTCCAACCATGGTGAGAACTTTAAAAAGAAACTCTTACTCATGGAAAGCTTGCATGTCATAATAATGTGAAGAGATTTTGTCACACATTACCCAGATGCTCAATAAATAACAAAGGATATACTTTTAAGTGCACGGCTGAGATAAGATAATGAAGGTTCCCAAGGATAAGAGGAAAAACAGGAAAAAGAACGACAAATATCAACCCTCATGGCAGACTAATTTGTAGGCCCGCACTGCCATGGGAACAATACCATTCTCTCCTGAAACCTGAGGGTCTTGTAAGGGAAAGGGAGACTTGATTTTGAGTTTCCGAATGGGAAAGGACTGAACATGAGAAACAACCTCAATGTTCCACACTTGAAGAGCTACACCTCTGTTAAAAGAGTGAGGTAGGGCCGAAACCGGTTTGGCTCAGTGGATGGAGCATCGGCCTGCGGACTGAAAGGTCCCAGGTTTGATTCCGGTCAAGGGCATGTACCTTGGTTGTGGGCACATCCCCAGTACAGGGTGTGCAAGAGGCAGCTGATATATGATTCTCTTTCATCCATGTTTCTAACTCTCTATCCCTCTCTCTTCCTCTTTGTAAAAAATCAATAAAAAAAAATATTTTTTTTAAAAAAAGAGTGAGGTAGGAAAAATTTGCCTTTCACCAAAGCAAACTAATGAGTAAATCTGCCGTTCTACACCAAACCTAGATTAATTAATGAAGATAATGACAGTGATCTCCCCTGAGCAAGCCTGAACTCAGATTTACAACATCTTCAAGTCAGGGAAATGCCTGGTTAATAAATAGTCTTGGAAGTAGAAACAAACAAGTATTTTCTACAGAAAGGTATCTTCAATACACATCCTTCAGGATTCCCATAAAATTAAGGAATAATTAAGGAAACACACTACCTTGAATAGCAGGAAACACACACATTCAGTAGATAAGATTTTCTTCTATCCCCAAAGGTTTCAGATATTCACACCACGGAAAGGGGGAAGAAACAGAAAAGTTGAACCAGATAAAATACAAAATAAAAGTTCAATACCACACTACACACACACAGACTATTCTTTTACATTTTTTCCATAATGGAATTATGTGTGTTATATTATGTGCTTTGAATTTGAATCCTGGATAAATAAGTACCAGTTTATGATTCCAAGGAAGTAAAACTTCTGTGCCTCAATTTCTTTAACTAAAAAATTGGCATAATACTGTATTACCTACCTAGTAAGATTCCTGTGAAATTTCATACACATATGTCTTCACGTGTGTATCACATAGCAGAGTTCTTTAATACACAAAACGCCCATGATCAATAGTAGCTGTTGTGAACACTAATTGAGTGTCTCCTATGTGCCAGTGATAGTGCCAGACTCTTTGGGACAGAGATGGATAATGAGTCCTTGTTAGGATACTATCTGGCATACTTGTTTTGTGCCAGACATTTACCTATATAAATATAACATTTACCTATATAATACCTCCCAACTGTCCTATAAAGTACTATTATCTCCAGATGAGGAAACTAAGAAATGAGTTAAGTGTCTTGGTCCAATTCATTCAACTAGTAATGAAAGTGGTACTAGAACTTGGGAGCTATATGTCCGCAAAGCCTGTCTTAATTACCTCACCTCTTTCTTTTCCCTATTTGAGAAGATTCACATTCAGCTACATATGGAGATGCAGTTGGTAGGCTTTTTTTCCTTTCCTTTCTTTTCTCTTTTTGACCAAAAAGCAGAGAACTCTAAAAATAGTGGGTTTCACAATCATAGAATATAATACAACATCGTTAAACTGAATTCTCTGTTGAGTTCTTGACACCTCAGTTTTTGTTCCTTCTTTGAAAGGAACAGTAATAATTTGATTATGAGTATGCAATGAGTCTACATGTTATGTTTTTCATATGTAAATACTTTTCTAGATACTATAGATTGGCACTTTTTGATGAGAAGACTTTATATAATGATAGATAGTTGAATGAGACTTAATATTGATTAGCAGATTTGATTAAAACAAGGAAGCACTTTCTAATTGTTTTATCCCACCAAACTGAATAAGGTGTGGTCATAAGACTACCTGTCAAAACACCAGATAATTTTCCAACAGATACTGCAGACTATATTATGATAAAGAGAAACAACTGTACCCAGGAAGACACAGTAATTACTTTTCAACCCTAATAATAATAGCAGCAAAAACTTGGGAGTTCATGTTCAGAAGGAAAAAAGAAAGGGGAGGGACGGTGCTTTGAATTTTCTCTGAATAAAAAATAGAATAGCGCCCTAGTCGGTCTGGCTCAGTGAACAGAGCGTTGAGCCCTTTGAAGGGTCTTGGGTTCGATTCTGGTCAGTCCCTGACCTCACATCAATGTTTCTCTCTCTGTGTCTCACCCCCTCTAAAAATCAATGGGAAAATATCCTTGGATAAAGATTAACAACAAATAGAAAAGAAAAAGAAGAAGAAAAAAAACTTTCTTTTATAAGCACAACACCTTGTAGAAATATTTATAGGCTGCCACAACACTCCTCACTCCTAGATCAAGAAGGGAGATATTATCTTTTGCTCAGAGTTTGAAACTATGTAGGTGATTTTTAAGTAAAGTAACATAAAAGGCTTGGATTCCATTACCCTCAAGTTTGAAGACAGCTGATGATTAAGACGTTGGGAAGCTCAAACAACTGAAAAACGGATTAATAAATAACTTCTACAAAGAGCAATGCAGTTTCACTTTAAAAGGAAGAATGAATCACCTAAACCTGGAAGGGATTTCAGAGATTATTTCACCCGTGTCTTCGTTTTGCAGATGAGGAAATCCAGACCTGAAGCACTGTAATTTGGTTGTTTACATTTTTTCCTCATATCTCTACTTCTGCCCTTATCTACTGTGGCTATAAATTCATCATAATGGTAAGTCATTGTCATATTTTTTTCTGCCCTGTGACTACCACAGCTTCAGGAAAAGGACTATTTTTAAACCTCAAAGCTTATCACATTCAGACCATCACAACAGCTTTGCTAAACCAGAACAAAATGAGTGAAAGTGAGTTAAGTACCTGTATTCTGCTGCTTAAATAAGGGTTTTTGCCTCATAACTGGTCTACATACGAGACATCTCTGGTTATGGCAGAATAAGAGGACAAAACAAGGTCGAGGGGGTTGTAAAGAAAAGTTTTGCAAATCAAGAAAAGCATCTCTAGTGTGTTCTGCATAGTTTCAAATTCCCCTTGGGAGAAAGGAATGCCTTTGAAGAGCTAAGGAGATGTGGGCTTGAATAAATCATCTTGCTCATTTCTTCCAATACTAAGATTCAATGAGAATTCAGAAATCAAAATACCGCATTGCTGATACCTAAATGTGTCAGTACGAAAAGAGAAATAAGAATTAAGATTCTTCATATGCAGCTACTCACACTCAGGGTGGGAATCGAGGGGCTGTTTTCCAAAAGGGAAAACCCAAACCCAGAGCACTCAGGATTGCTGGTCCTCCGTCACTCAAAAACGAGGCTGCCAGACCAGAGTGACCATCAGCCTCTCCATCCACTAATCCTTCATGAGGACTTGTCTAAAGCAAGCATTTAGTAAATAAACATAAACTTTTGGTGTTCAGAAAATGGGCATGATAACCAAACTCTTAAGAGTGGTGCGTTGACTTCCGGAATTCTCTGGTAATTGACCTCCAAGGCTAGCTCAGCCTAGGCGGGTTCCTGCCCAAGCCAAGGTCCTTTGGGGGAAAGGGACAAAATACGCAACGGGGGGAGGTGGCCAGGCGCAGCCCCTTCTCCCCCACCCTGGGAAAACCTCCCGGGCCGGCAGGCTTCCTCTGCAGCCGGCAGACCCAGCGCACCCATAGGGCGCGCCCCACCCCGGAGCCCACGCCCCCCGCTCACCCCTCCCGCCCGCAGCACTCACCTGCGGTGCCCGCGGGCGACTGGATCCTGAAGGCGGCCGGCTCGGCCCATCCCGGGTGCGACGGGGGCCGGCTCCAGGGTCTGGGGGTCCCGTGCAGCAGGTAGGAGACGTTGGACTTGCGCCGAATCGCCACCCGCCTGAAGTCCTGGGCGCCCTTGCCGCTCCCGGCGCCGGCGGGCTCGCCGCCCGCTCCGCTCTCTCTCCGGCCCGGGTCCGGGAGCGAGTGGGCGCTCGGCGCGCCCCTCAGGGGCAGCCCGACGCCGGGGGGTGTCGCCTGCATGACCCCGTTGGGCGCGACTCCTCTGCTCCGGCGGCTCCTGGGCGAGTCTTCCTCGCCCCTTCCTTCCCCGGGCGCGGGGGGCCGCGCAGTTTGGAGCGCTCGCTCGCTCTCGGCGGCTCCCGCACTCACCTGACGCCGCTTCGGCAGCCACCGGGCTGGGGCTGCTGCTTCCTCCCCCTTCTCTCCGGAGCCAAACGCCGGAGAGACGGGGATAGTGCGGAGTTCAGGCCGCCGGAGCGGAGCCGACAGCGCCACAGCCTCCTCCCCCGCCCTCCTCCTCCGCGGGCCGGGAGAGCTGCCAGGGACGCGCGGTGCCTAGTGGAGCGCCCTGGGCGCGGTCCGGAGCCGGCGCCGCCCGAGGCCCCGCCCCCGCCGCCCAGCGCGCGCCCATTGGCCGAGGGCGCCGCGCGGCGCTCACCTGCGGCCGCGCACCTGGGCGCTCCCGGGGTCCGCGGAGCGCACCTGCGCGCCCGGGTTTGGAGAGGGGAGGTCAGTACAGCTTCTTCGGACTTTGCCCGATGGCTGCCTGTCCTCGCAGACCCGCATCGCAAGGGTCTTCCGTGTGTCCCAGCTGCTGACCTGAGCCCTGAATAATGATCGTATTTATGTCGTGGAGCTAACCGGCGAGTGAAGTGTTTTAGATTAGGAAACCAAGACGCGGAAGCGACAGGGAGCGGAGCTGATGTGCAACCACCTTCGGACCTGGTGTCTGCACCCTGGCCTTGCCAGGAAGCTACGCTTCGTCAAGTGCCAGCTGAAGTGCACGGGGCCCGGTGGAGGAACCTGGAGCCCTGGGCCATGGGAGATCCACTGTGTATACACAGGAGCGGGCAGCCTGGAATCGGCCCTCTCCTGGGAATTAACACTGTAACAGAAGACAATGGACTAATTCATGTTCCTTAACTTTTATTTTTATATTTTCCAATGTAGGAAAAATTATATGATGTGTTTTAATTCTAATTAAATGTTTTTTTAAAAAAAAACATTCTATTTAATTTCATCAACATAACCTGTCTCAGACTGATCTATTTCCTAATAAAATAAAATAAAATAAAATAAAATAAAATAAAATAAAATAAAATAAAGAATACTCAGGATAAAAAATAATGAACTAGTCAGTTGTTTCAACTACTGGTAGAACATCACTTCCTACACTAGAGTTTAATAGAAGTCAGTGCTTTACAGCAGATTCACTCTTATTTCAATCTCAATGGAGAAAGGTGAAAAATTTATTTCACTTTAATAATAAATCTTTAATAATAATAATTAATAATAATTGCTATTTAATAATAATCATTATTTCCTCTGTAAATGAATTATAAATATTATTTACTTTAATGCTTTCACTAGATAGGATTTCGTATAAATATCATTAAAGAAAAAAAGGGCCCTGACCAGTTTGGCTCAGTGGATGGAGCATCAGCCTGCAGACTGAAGGGTCCCGGGTTCGAATCCAGTCAAGGGCATGTACCTTGGTTGCGGACACATCCCCAGTAGGGGTTGTGTAGGAGGCAGCTGATCAATGTTTCTCTCTCCTTGATGTTTCTACCTCTCTCTTTCTCTCCCTTCCTCTCTGTAAAAAATCAATAAAATATATTTTTTTAAAAGAAAATAAAAAAGGTTTCTGAAAGGCATAAATGATGCTGACTTTCTATAGCAGCATTAGGGGGCTGACATACAGCAGATAATTTCATGAAGATCTCATTGAAGAAGAGGATACAGTTATTTTAACAGGGACTGAATGGGAGAACATATTTGCCAATAATACATCTAATAAGTTCTTAATATTCAAAATGTATAAGGAACTTATAAAACTCAACAGCAAAATAAATTAAACAATTCAATTAAGAAGTGGGCAAAAGATATGAATAGCCATTTCTCTCAAAAGGACATAAAGATGTCCAATTGACATGAAACAATGCTCAACTTCACTAATCATCAGAAAAATACAAAAATTCAAGCACAATAAGCTATCAGCTCACATCTGTCAGAATGGCTATCAATAAACAAACAAACACGTGTTGGCAAGGATGTGGGGAAAAGGGATGTGGGGGTGCAGACTGGTGCATCCACTGTCGCAGACAGTATGGAGTTACCTAAAAGAATTAAAAATGGAACTGCCTTATGATTCAGCAATTCCACTTCTGGGAATATATCCAAGGAAACCTGAAGCTCTGACTCAAAAGAATATAAGCACCCTTAAGTTCATTGCAGTGTTATTTACAATAGCCAAGATTTGGAAGCAGACCAGTGTCCATCCGTAGATGAGTGGATAAAAGAGCTAGTACATTTACACAATGGAATATTACTCGGTCATAAAAAAGAAGGAAAGGAAATCTTATCTTGCAACAACATGGATGGACCGAGAGAGTATTTTGCTAAGTGAAGTAAACCAGTCAGAGAAAGACAAGTACCATATGATTTCACTTATTTGTGGAATCTAATGAACAAAATTAACAAATAACATGGAAATAGACTCATAGAGAGATCAGACTGACAACTGTCAGAGGGGAGGATGCTTGAGGGGGGCTAGGTGAGAAAGGTGAAGGAATTAAACAAACAAAAACAAAAAACAAAAAGCAGCTCATAGACATAGACAATAGCATGGTGATTCTCAGATTACCAGAGGAAAAGGGGAGTAGAGAGAGGTAGAAGAAGAAGGTAAAGGGGGTGATAAGTGGTTATAGAAGGAGACTTGGAGTGGTGAACACACAATAAAATATACAAATGATGCACTATAGAATTATACACCTGAAACCTATGAAATTGTATTAACCAATGTCACCCTAATAAATTTAATTTAAAAATAAAACCAAATAAATAAATTAAAGGAGCCCATCGCCTATCCTCCCTCTCCCTACTACTGCTTTTCTCTGTGGTCCTGTAAGGATGCAGGTGGAAGGCCTGAGTGCTGCAGCCATCTTGTGACCAGCAGGGGAGATGGCATGGATCTACTGAGGGCGGCAGGACAGAATGATGGAAGAGCCCAGGCTGTTGGTGAGTTCAACGCGGGACTGAAAAACCCCAGAAACATCCCACCTCTTACATCCTGGATAAGTGGCAAAATAAACTGTCCTTGCTGTGAAGCCACTGTTAGCCAGACATTTTTGTTATTGTTTAGCCAAAAGCGAACTGATACAAGAAAAATCGTTTATCCAAATTTTAGGAAATTTCTTGTGCAATTATAAAGCTATGTATTTAATGTTTTATTATTACTGCTTAGCACTGTTTTAGTTTAGGACTTACCCATATTCCTTTGTTGTTTTCAAATGAGATCATCTAGATGAGGAGGTCAGTAAATTGTGATCTGTGGGCCAAATCCAGCCAATTCCCTGCTATTTTTGTATGACCCACGAACTTATGGATGGTATTTATTTATTTATTTCATTTTTTAAAAAATATTTTTATTTATTTCAGAGAGTAAGGGAGAGCGGGAGAGAGAGAGATAGAAACATCAACGATGAGAGAGAATCACTGATCAGCTGCCTCCTGCACACCCCTCACTGGGAATCGAGCCTGCTACCTGGACATGTGCCCTTGACTGGAACCAACCAGGGACCCTTCAGATCACAGGCCAATGCTCTATCCATCTAACTGGCTAGGGCCTGATGGGTGATTTTTAATATGTCAACTGGTTGGAGGGAGGAGGAATTATAAAAAGAATATTTTGTGATACATGAAAATTATGTAAAGTACAAATTTCTATGTCCATAAATAAAATTTTATTAAACCCAGCCAGCAGTTTATGACTGCTTTCACACAACAGCAGTATTGAGTAGTTGAGATAGATATCAGATTGACAATAAATCTGAAACTGGCCCTTAACAGAGAAAGTTTGTTGACCCCTTAATATAGGTGAAAATAAGAATCGTACATAAAAGTTTTGTTAGATTTTGAAAAATTATTAAACTATTATCAAAAACTGTAATCTAAGCTCTGACATGTTATACCTTTGTACATTTCATAGCAATGTCAACAGAAGGTGACACAGTGAAGCTACAAGACTGTAGCCAAATCTATATTGTAAATCTACCTCTTTCTCCAATGACACCATTGCTTTATTACAAACTCACACATCTATAGGCCTTTGCAGTAGTCTACATAACTCTGCATCCTTAGAGTACAAAATAAGCATATTCAAAACAACTCTGAAATTATTCACGAAAAAGAAAAAAGTATAAACTGAAGTCAGTGATGTTATTTATGCATTACCTCAAATAGAGCTTTTTTCCAAAGTAGACACAAATATGTGATTAGCATTTTCATGAGAATATTGGCAATCAGAAATACTTTTAAAATAACAAAATAAACATTTTCATGCTACCGTATTTAACTATAAGAAAGCATATTCCTTTTTTTATTATCAAAAATATCTTTATTGATTTCAGAGAGGAAGGCAGAAGGAAAGAGAGATAGAAATATCAATGATGAGAGAGAATCATTGATTGGTTGCCTCCTGCAGGTCCCCTACTGGGGATCAAGCCCACAACCAGGCATGTGCCCTTGACCAGAATCGACCCTCGGACCCTTCAGTCTGCAGGCTGATGCTCTATCCACTGAGTCAAACCAGCTAGGGCCAGACCCCTAATTTTTTAAAAAAATATATTTTATTGATTTTGTACAGAGAGGAAGGGAGAGAGATAGAGAGTTAGAAACATCGATGAGAGAGAGTCATTGACCAGCTGCCTCTTGCACACCCCCTACTGGGGATATGCCCGCAACCAAGGTTCATGCCCTTGACCGGAATTGAACCCGGGACCTTTCAGTCCCCAAGCCGACGCTCTATCCATTGAGCCAAACCGGTTTCGGCAAGACCCCTTATTTTTTATTATCCAAAATGCAAACCTGAAACTCAGTGGAATGTGTCACTTTCCACCATATTCTGTATTTATGTATTTTCTTTCAAGACTACAAGCTCCTGGTGGTAGTCTAATTCGTATTTGTATGCTCTGTAGCATCTTTATAGTAGCTTTCACAAAGTAAAGTACTCATTGAAACTAGCAAAAGACAAATGCATGACAGGAAAAACTCTTCATGACTGTGAACAATATTCCTCCTAAAGGAATGGATCCTAAGCAAATAGTCAGAAATTTAGATGACAATTTCTGTACAAAATTTTTATGAAGTGTTTTTTTTATATATGTTTTTATTGATTTTAGAGAGAGGGAATGGATCAGGGAGAGAGGCATAGAGAAACATCAATGAGAGAGAAACATCAATTGGCTGCCTCCTGTAGGCTCCTTCTGGGGATCAAGCCTGCAACCCAGGCATGTGCCCTAGTGGGGAATGGAACCTGTGACCTATTGGTTCATGGGTTGACAATCAACCACTGAGCCACACCATCCAGGCTTTGTATACAAATTTTAATAGCATCTTTATCTGTGAGAGTAAAGGTGTGGAAACAATTTACAGTCAATAAGAGTCTTTTCTTTTTTAAGAAGTATAATTCATCCATGCCAAAGAATATGTTGCCAGCCTTAAAAATAATGTCATTGATAACTTTTAATAATCTACAAAAATATTCATCCTAAAATGTTTAGAGGAAAAAACAGGATTCAGCCTAACCGGTTTGGCTCAGTGGATAGAGCGTCAGCCTATGGACTGAAGGGTCCCAGATTCTATTCTGGTCAAGGGCATGTACCTCAGTTGTGGGCACATCACTAGTGGGGTGTGTGAAGAAGGCAGCAGATTGATGTTTCTCTCTCATTGATGTTTCTGACTCTCTATCCCTTTCATTTCCTCTCTGTTAAAAAAATCAATAAAATATATTTAAAAAAAAAAAACCAAAACAAAACAGGATTCAGAATTGTATATTCAGTATGATTCAAGGAAAGACACCAAAATGTTAACAGGAGTTTTCATTGAAAGATAAGATTATAGTTAATATAATTTTCTTTTTACTTTTTCACATCTTCTAAATTTTCTACAATAAACATGTGTTACTTTTATTACTAGAAAAAGAAAAAAAATTGGGAAAATAAATGAATGGTGTGGGCAGAACCTCATTTGTGACCAATCTGCAGGAAAA